GCTATTTTAATTATATATATGTATATGTATAACTTGGCATACGTATTATTTATAATTTAATACAGTAAAATTGGCGTATTCCACCATAGAAATTCCATGTTTGCACATGACTATCAACTACATATACAAGATATACAAGACAAACATTATTATGATAAATTATGACCAATGGTGGAAATAGGCGTTCCCTTAATATATATATAATATATATTAATACTTTGTTAATTACGCACAGCAAATGACTTGGTGTACCATATAGATTGAAAAAAAAAAAAAAAAAGTGTTTATAATAAGCGGTCACAAGGTTTGCAATAATAATAGTAATAGGCATTGTCCATTGGTATTCACTAAGCCACTTTTGACAAATGGATCTTACCTACGTACATATAAATAATTTATTGGATGATATTTCCGTAGATTTCCAGGCAGATAAACTGATAACTTTACTTGAACCAATTAAATAATTGAAATTAATCTAAGTTTGATCTTTGCACATACTGTATATACGTATATAGTTAAAAGAGTTAATGAATTTATTATAAAATTAATCATCACGTGTAAAAATCCAATTAAGATTCATTTCAAATTTCATAATTTTTTGTATTTCTTCGTAACCAAAGCAAATCTACGTCATGCAGAGGATAATAAAGTTAATCCATGCATTATGATTTTAGCTGTTAGTATTAGTACTGCAGGTACTGTACATCAAATGACCTTACGCCTATATACCCAAAATATTTCTGTGGGATGTCCTACTCTCATATTCCAGTGAATCAACACATTGCCGGTGACTCCCTTTAGCAGCCTACTAAGATCTTGTCCAGGGTTGGCAATATAGCAAATGAAGCTTGATAGTTACATGAATGGGGCTAAAGTACTAGTACTGTATCACCGCTGATTCCATCAGAGCTCTATTGGGCTCCATTAAGCTCCATTGCCAACACTGCCTCCTGTGTATATCACAGCTAGCGGGTTCTTGACAAGAGCATCATCTTGTCGATGTTTTAGCAATTCTTGAATGTGTGCCAGGTTGATGGCGCATTAACCAGCTACAATGGTCTTTTTTATTTCAGTATGTACAGTTCATTCGTAAAATTAAACTTCATCAACCATCCCGTATTTTGAATGTTTTTTATTTTTCTTTTGTGAATTGAAGAATAAAAGAAATAATATAATTTTTAAAATTTTTAGTTCGTTCATTATAAAAAGGTACTATTATAAGGAGATTTGACCGTACTTAATATGTAAGTAGAGTATTTCGGAGGTATGTAAGAATAACAAAGCTTATAAAATTTAGTTATAAAAGCGAAACGTCTTAAGATACGTTTCAGCGTAAATTGTGAATTTTTTTTTTTTATAAACTATATAATACGTGTTTATTTGAAGAATTATTATCATACTTTTAAAGCCAATATTTTTTCTTATACGCGTATTATCTTAAGAACTTTGACGTTTTGGTCTGAAAAAATTTTGAGAATTATAATTATAAACGTTATAAAAGTAAAGAATACGAATGTTTTTTTATTCATGACAAAAATATTAGAAACTAGAGGTTATGAAAAAATGAAGGGAAACGTGCTTTTTTGAAAATAACAAGAACATGATTCAGTAGAAATAATGTCAAAAATGGTGTTTTCTATTAAAATTTATAATTTTACTATAGAATTTTACTGATTAATGCGCCACCAACCTGGCACACATTCAAGAATTTCGATGTTTACTACATCTTGAAATGTATAAACTTGATACTACATTGATTTTTTTCTTTTGTATTTGGTTTCCTTCAAGATAAAACAAAATAAAGAATGGTCTTGCCTTTAATAAAATGCAGATGTAAATTATAAAGATATTTGAGTCAACTATCGATTACTGTTGAACTTGCCTTTTTTAAATCTGATAAAAATTTAATCTGCAAAATCTACTTCAAATTTGATTACCTCTCAATACTGTTACAAAAACAATGCATATCAGTTTTTGAGAGATTCAACAGTATGTAAAAAAAAAAAAAAGTTAAATTAACTAATTAATAATCAGAAAAAAAATGTTGAGTCTTTCGTGACATAAAGCTTCCTTTATTTATCCTACCTTTGAAAAGACTATTTAAAGGAGTGAAATTTAGAATTTACTTGAGGCAATAAGAAAATTTTATTTTGACAGACTAAAAGTAAAACATTTACATTTTTTCTACACCTCATTCATTCTTATTATTTAAAAATTATTTTTAGCAATCGAAAACAGTTCTGAAAATGGCGAAACTACCACAAAAAAGGAAAATCTAGTTAGCTGTTAGAGGTTAGTATGTCGTAACATATACTGTATAGTTCCGAAAATAAGCACTCTTGGCCCGCACTATGCCAATTTTGGGCTGCATTATAATGATCTCGGCCAGCATTACAAGCAAAAAAGGGTGCTTATTTTCGGAACTATACGGTAATAATTTTTTCATTATCATTTCTCTATATTCTAGTATTAAAATGATACTAGTGTTGAAATATAATCTAATAATGATAAATTTTATTAAAGAGAAATCAACGAATTTGAATATGAATCATCTACCGTCCTGTCAATTTCCTCCACTAACAGAGACCGTTCAATGTCTAAAGAAATGATTGAAATTTACAAATATAATCCGCCAAGACATTATTATAGCTCAAAAAAGAAAACAATACGCCAACATTTATAGTTCTATATAGAAAATACTCAAGTTCTAAAAATATTGTAAATTTTTTTCATATAAGAATTAGACTATATTAACTATCACCATCCTCTATGACCGTATCACTGCCACTTTCAGAAGCATGCTCATTTTGCTACACACGCAGCTTTCATAAATGACGAAAAAAAAATGAATAATCTGGATAATCTCAAGATGAATTAATTTTATATTTTAATATATACAGCATGCATATGATTAGTAAGTATTAGCGTTACGTTAGTAAGAAAACAAGCTCTATATATTTTTTTGTGTATAATTACTATATACGTATATATTAAATATATAATAACTATTATTAGCAACTAAAGCATAAAAGGATCTTGCATGCATTATACAACATCGTAATTTTCCGATATGAAGCATTAATTAAAAAAACCTCAGGTGATAAAATGCCATCAAGTTCCTGCTGAAACTGTAGGAATACAAATAAAATTAAAATTATTCTACAAATAATTGCTATCACTGATGTATTTCGAACCGGTAAAATAAAATTAGAGGAACACATGGCAAGAGTCATCTTCAATACTGCAATACGGATAAATAAAGGTAATCTTTATTGTATAAGTTTGTTTTAAGTTAAACCATTGGTTGAGATTACTCTTTTCTCTTTTTAATAGTTACCAGTAGCAAATACATACGATCATGAGCCAAATTGAAAAAAATGATTTACTAGTTGCAGAAAACTAGAGTATTTATCAATAGAGTATTTATTAATAATATAATTAATTAATAACTAAACAACTTTAATAAATTTGCATACTAATTTAGTAAAGGTTATACTTATTAGGAAAAACTATTCGAAATCTCGAAGTCACGTCGAATAATAACGTAAGCTTTGTTATTATTATTTCAATGATAAAATTGTTCGCCCTTAAAATTTTGCTTGCTATTTAATAGATTAGGTTATTGGAGCATCCTTGACAACGCAACAAAGTCTCTATGGATGTACGGAGTTTTCCCAAATAGAAATTAATGAAATTAGAAAAGAATGTATAAAGAATACTAACAGATTGATCTCATAAATTCTACGAATACCATACATAGCCTTTAAATGAACCAGTTCAGATGAAAAGATGGGTTAAAACTTCGTGATTTTAAAATTGATTCATCATTTAAAAGTGTTCAAGGTGATATTTTTGAATTTAAAAACAATTGTTTTAATGAAAATTACAAAATTGGTAAGCTTTAAATTAATTTAAAAAGAGATGGCATAATATTTCGGATTCGACTAGTTCTCTACCTTAAAGAATTCGCTAAATGTATTGTTTTAACCATATGTTCTGTCTACGTGACAGATGCCATCTTATATCCGATAAAAACAAGTGCATAAACTTAAAATTTCGAAATAGGTGCGTATTCTAGTGATTAATATTCACCTATGAACGCGTCAGATGTCAAAACTAGCTTCGATCAATTTACTATAAAGCTCCTCATAATTATATGTACCGTACCGCCCTACGTTATTAGCTGACATTATATAATTTTAATAATTAACCGGTATAAAATTTTTTTAATCTCACATGCTATTTTAATAGGCTCGACGCCAAGCAAGAAGCAATCAAGAATAAAAGGCGCTATTCATAATGAATTCCCTGAATTGTTAAAACCAAAAAAGAAACCGTTGAATATATATATTACATTATATTGCATTATATTGCATTACCGGAACGATAAGAAAAGAAAAGAGCCAATAATAGAATTATTTAATAGATAGGTACCATAATTATAAATATGAAGATAATTATCTCTAATCACTCTACAATTACTTTGAAACTAGCAGCCATGTCAAGGAAAAGATATTTACTGAACATTTTACTAGAGCTTTTAAGTATTCAAAGTTAAAGTGGCACTAGATAATCTTACATCATCGGCGTTTTTTATAGTTGCCTTGGATGATTCTGAAATAACCCAAGTTCCTTTTAATGAAGAACAAATAAATTTCAAAGTATTATAAACAATTATGCGGAACAATGACAATATAACGATAAATTTTCTTTGATTCATATAATTGAAAACAAAAAAAAAAAAAATGCAAAGATAATGATATTTCGCTACAAAAAAATATTTCAATCTGTATGTACTGTATATACTAAAATGTGAAGAAACTAAATTTTTCTATTAAATAAAAATAGTATTCTAACTATATAAATATTAATATGCAATATAAAATTGCCCAAGAAAAATCGGTTTACTAATTTTGTTATGCATGAATGAAAATTAATTTAAAGATAATTTTTATATAACATTAATGTAGATAAAAAAAAAATAATACAAAATTGCATTATTAAGAAGTTGACGTTTGTTGATTCTGAGGTAATGAATAGGATTCTGATTCATCTTGATTTGTATAATATCCAGGATTTTGTTCCTCAAGATATGCGTCTTCATCAACTTCTAATTCACTTTCTTCTACTGTTTGAATTTTTAATGCATTGTTTCCTTCGAAAAACATTGATATAGATTTTATAGTTCCTCGTCGGCTCACTTTTGTCTCACTCTTACGTCCATGATAAACCTTACTTAATGCGTCTTTAGCATTTGAATGAACCATTGGCGTAATTATTTCAGTTGTTAATGATGGATGGTCAAATCTTGTAGAAACTTTTTCATACAAGTGATCAATATTTTTCTTTTCATTCATTACATTTTCCAAATATGTTTCAGTTGGAGTATAATATCGAATTTTTTGATCAAATCGACGGGAACAAATAATTTTAAATAATATTGTGAGAAATGGAAGTGGTATGATTATAATAGACTGAATACCAGCTCCTTTCAGATTCATCACTCCAACCATCACAAGTTGCCAAAATATCGTTGAAATAACAATGCGATTAAAAACCAATCGCCAAAATGAACCGGCTGTTTCAACTTTTGTTGTAAAAACGTACCTAAAATAATATTAATAATTTATATCAGTTTTTAGTATAACAGATAATAACTATTGTTATATAAATAACCACGTGACTATAAATCTTTAAATGCATCAACTTTATAAAAGAAAATTTTTTTAAAAAACTGATAGTAACTTTGTGTTTGTAAAGTTACAGAATGAGTTTAAAAAAAAATTTTTTCTTGTACAAAGGTTGTAAAAGTTTTAGCAATTTGAAAAATTGAAGTCATGTGATTGTTGAGCATAACTTCCAACACCATAACAGATAACGAAAATTCCATATAATACTTACATTAGTTGATAGCGATATATTAGATAGGACAATGCAAAATAAAGAAAACAGAATAATAGAATCAAAGGCGCAATGACACTATATAGAATTCCGATGGTAAAGAAAAACAGATGAAGGTTATAATATACAGGGTAATCAAAATCCGGTGGACGCGAAAATTCTTTAAGATTTCGAGGAGTAGGTCTAACGACTCTTCTTTGTATAAACTTTAACACCAAAGAAGCGACTTGTGCCAAGTCAAATACTGCAGCAACACCACGCAAAGAAATATAATTGATCCAAAAAGTAGAAACTTTTATCATCGAATCCGCAAGTTCGTCAAGGAATTTAGATTGTTTGATGACTAAATAAAAATCTCGTAAGTTTGTATCACCTTCATCGATCTTTAACTTGATTTTTGTCCATGTATCAATGATTGTTGATGCGCTAGTATAAATAATGATACTATTTATTATGAAGAACAAATACAATTTCCCAAGTGTAGACCGGTCAAGTGAAGATTTAGTTATTTTTCCCTGTTGTTTAGCAAGCTGACGAAGAATTGTAGGCAATATAAGGAAAAATAAAGCCAATAGAAGTGGGGTCATCCAGGCTTGTAAGAGGCCAGAGATAAACCCATTATTACTTAAACCCCTCGCAAATGGAAAAATAACTTCAATGTTTTTGACTTGAGCAAATGTGGATATAAAAGTTATAGGAACAAGCCAGAAAAAACATAACGCGATAAAAAGTGCATGCCCAATAAGTATTTTGGGTCCTATAGATTGTTTAGTATGAAGAAAAATTAGTGATAAAACCAAGTAATCTGAAAACGTTATTAGATGTAACATTACCTCTGATAGCATCAGATAATGATAAATTACTCCATATCATGTCTTTTGGCAATGGAGCAAGCCTTACTTTTGGAGAGATAACATTCTGAGTTCGTTGAACTAGTGATTGATCCCTCAATTCTTTGGCAACCTTATGGGCGTCGGGAATGTTGGTAAAAGAAACAAAACCATAGTTCAATGGCTTTCTATCAGACATAGAATTACGACACTCAAAAATTTGATTTTCAAGAGACTGAATCCTTTGTGTATAATAATCAATACTATCAACAGGAGTCCCGCGTAAACCTCCTTGGCGATGATGCGGTCGTGTTTCTGGAATATTATCAGGATCTTGTAAAAAAAAAAAAAAAAAATTAAATTAAAATTGGACTGATGAACGCATATATTTTAATGTCTATCAAGGATTCATTGTTTACTTACCACTCAGATACTTGGCTAAAACTGATTCCAACTTACGAACAGCAGAATCATGTTTTTTGAGTAATTTAGGTAGTTTTCCTACTTCTCTAGCTATATGTGCATCCGAAATGGGATATTTGACATTTAAGGATTCCATTAGTTTTAGTAAACCTTGATCAGATTGCATCGAATGCGGTACATTGGTGATTAATAATGTCCTTGAATGTAAAGAAGCTTGATATTCTTCAGATTCGAAATAGGCCACTTTTAATTCTACATAATCTTTATACTGTCTATAAACGAGCCAATATATAAGGGCTGAAAATATCCATGTGAATGAAACATGAATCCAAAACCATTTTTCCTATATGTAGGCGTACAAAATTTGTTAATATAAATTGACATACAATCTATTCTGGATATAACAAACTTTTTTATAACGAATACACCAATATGATGAAATTTTTTTTTTTTTACAAATCTATTATAAGTTCACTATACAAGTCATAGTAATATATAACGAGCTTTTAAAATTTTTCACTATATGAGTGACAGTAGTATTAAATAATACCTACACTTGATAGATAAGAAATGCTGAGAAATTGAAGAGGGTTATCACTTGTAGGAAATTTGTTGTCCGAATCTTGTAATGTACCGTAGACATTTAATGGTACTAGAATGCATATACCCATAAAGAATACCCATAAAAATAGGTTTCTACATAAACTTATAAACCTTAAATACATTACGGCATCTAGACCGATTTTCTCTATCAATTGTGATTCTGGTACACTAATTACTGGTTTAATCCAAGAGAAGAGCCCTGTTTCGATCTTTGGTGGCTGTTTTCTGATTACGTAAATTAAAAAGGGAAACTGTTAACAGTTGTTAAATCAATGTTTAATATTAAATAAAAGATTAATAATGGACTTACTTCTCCGGAGAATATCTTTGTTTTGGTGCGTATACAACTGAATTTTATGAAATTTATCGTCACAATTATTGACGCTGATATAATCCTTACTAATAAATTGTTTGATAATGTACAAACAATACTCACTCCCATTCCTAGGTCTAAGAATTCCAAAAATTATTAGAGTTCCAAGACCTAAGCCAGTATTGATCGCTAATTGGGAATACATTCCCGTAATTGTAATCGTGGCAGACTGTTCTTCTTGCCCGACATAACTCATTATTTTCTTTTTTTTAAAAAAAAAAAAAAGAAAAATGCAATTCTATACTTTTTTGATAGTATAATAATAAAGTAATCGAATTAAAATTCTAAGTTTTTTCCTTTTTCTTTTTTTAATTAAGATGTTATATTGTATGCATTGATCTTAAAGACGCGTATTTTCCTTTAATTATGCGTATATATGAAAAGGAATGTAATAAACCCGATAAAGCGAAAAATCATTGGCAATGAATCATCTAGTCAAGCAGAAAATTAATATATATTAGATAAAAAACAATAAACGTGAAGAAAAGAAAAGATATAGGGTCTAAAGAAAGAGGGTCAAATAGAAAATTTAATGTTAGACTTACGTGTTGTGTATGATGAATCGCATATTTGTATCACGTTGTATCATACGTACATGAAAGTCTAACCAATTTATATCCTTATAAAAGGAATAGCCGGTGCGGACATCTTCATAATTTGGTTGTCAAACTCTTAAATGAGTGTCGCAAAGAATCCTTATTAGACGAAGAATTCAAGTTTTCCCTTTGCGGCACTCAAATAAAATTTTTTAATATGGCCGTGTAACTGACATCTGTAACAAGCGTCTGTAACAAGGTAAGGTAATCTCCGGCTACTATACTTGTTTAGAGGTATTCACTTCATCTACAGTCGCGGTCAACCGTTTTCATTACGGAAATAGAAAAAAAATAAGACTATACAAGGTTAACCAACTGTTTCTCATAACTCAACCGGTTCAGTTTTAATAATAAAAAAATTTTTGACCAGGTAATGGCACTAGATAAAAATTTTTTCCCAGGCTACAAAAGTATCTAACGGATTGTCCAAGGTTGGCAATGGACTATAATGGGGCTTTGAAAAAATTCAACGGGACATCGCCCATTGGGTCAACGGATATAGTTCATGAATATTTAATAACTGCCAAGCCCTGACAGTTCATCGACACATGGTGCAGTTAAATTAATTTCTATCATCACATGCGAGATTATTATGTTACACGACAGAAAATAACTTTGTTTCCTCTTTCTGTAATCTAATTGGCCAATTTTGATAACCGTGTGAACGGAGTCACTTGATTTGTCTTCTACCATAAATACAATTTTTCTTATTGTTCTCTAAATGCAAGCTGTCTAAAGTGGTCCTTATGAGTTGTGTTTAGGGAGGTTTTAATTTCCTCAATTACATGCAATATCTTTAGCTAATGTTGTCATTTTTATTTTATATCAAAATGCTGGTGGCAATGGTCTTATCCTTCCCTTGAAACTATTTAGCTGGTCTGAACCTATTTAATATTAATAGTTTTTATTTACTGCGATTTGATCTTCAAATGCGTTCGCTTGTCGAGAATTTTATCTACTGCAATTCAATATTTAAATACATTCATTCGGTAGTAAATCCAATGGACTTGTAAAGTAGGCAGATTTCAGTGTCTGTTGCAGTAGAAACCCGGTGGTCCAACTCAGTTGTATTCAAACCCAGAAGCAATACTATGAAAAAGATAATTAATGAGCTATGTACTGTACCAAATTGCTATATAATGTGATAAAGAAAATTTTTTTGATGTATATGCAGTTATTGCCGATAAAAATAGAAGAATGGAAATTTAACAGTATAGATGGCCTAATATCTCGCAGGGTTAAATAAAAATTGTTATAAATAACTTTCGGGTTTCGATGTGGCATTAAATCTTTACGAAATATGAAATGTTCATATGTAGCATTAGGTCTAAAAAGAGATAACACGAATTTGTTTTTGTAGATCTTAAATCTAATAACTGCATAGTTTTTTTGTAGTTCTAATATCTTATTAATAATCTTATTCGTGATTTGATAGTCTTAAGTCTGTTAACGGTAACTTTATTAGATTCTTTAACATTAGAATAATATAAAAACACTAGCCTGGCGCGTGTCACTACGTGCCACGGTTTTAATTCAATTATTACAAAGTATACTCAGACCAATATGAAAAGCTACAGTACATAAGTAAGTTCACATTCGATACAGACACGTAACCAATGTATTGTAAATTCATTATTTATTAGTAACAAAAAAAAATAAAAATAAAAAAAAGCATGTATAATTTCTAAGTATTCCTCTTATTTTCTCGGATCATGATTTCTCATTTTTCTGATAGTCATTTCTTCGAAAGAACATTTATTTGATACATACAAGGTGTGAATTTATCAATACTACATCCTTATAACTAATAAGTGATGGCGCTATCTTTTGTGATATCAAGCAAATGCTTATGGGGAAACGACTATCAGGAAAATGAGCAGGCACCATATCCGGCAACAAATATTCGATTCGTGTATAGTAAGGTAGCATAGATTAAACAATGATACTTGAAATTTTAGATTTTTTGTGAAAATTTTAGATCTAAAATTTTACAGGTCTCTGATCAGTTTGTTATGCGAATACAGCTGTATAAAAAAAGCTACCGACTTCAATCAATATAAAAGAAATGATATATAAATCAATTCCAACATTCATCTCTTTTAGAGTTAATATCTCTGTCCAGATTTATATATCTGGATATATACTATGTTATGTGATATAACGTGACATAGTGATTATATATAGTAACCATATAACAATTTTGCGACCACGTGATGATATGCGCTAAAATTTCATTGGCCAATTTTAACCACAGATTGCCAATACATTTTTCGAATAATAAATCAACTCTTGACGTGTTAGGGTAAGGGTGATAGGGTTTGATAGGGTTAATAGGGCTTATATATAGCAAAATTTGCAAGGAATTTTTTTTGTTAAGAAACAGAAGATGGTTTTATAATCAAAATTTTGAGTTATAGATGATTTTTGAAAAAGGCTAGCAGTTTGTTTTGTTTTCACATTACACCTAATTCCATGGTGTAATTGGTTTAAAGTTACATGGTCTCAAACTTTTTATGCGGTTACTATGTATAATGACATAATGTTTTTATATCTGGATATAAATATATCTGGATTTAAATTATATCCAGATTTATACTATAATAAAACTGGATTAATCTGGATATAAAAATATATCCGGATTGAGGTATTAACAGCATGATAGAAAGTCATTTTGATTAGCTAATGTGGTACAACTGTAATGTTGATTGTTATACAATAATTTATATTAGTTTTAGAGTACCTCCTATATGAAAACATAATCGCTTATATGACAAGTTGCTATATATACAGTATTACTTACTGTATGAGCAAATAACTTTTAGAATATATTGGTCTTTAACCTTACTAGCAGCTGGCAAATAAAATCAGATATAATCAAATTCCCAGAAGACTTCTACTAATGCTGCATTTTTACTATTAGCCTAATAGTATATAGCTAAATAGGCTTAGAAAATATTTTTTTTAGTTTTTTCTAGAAAGTGTTACTTCAATAGCTAATTCATTCTTAAAAACTTGGAATCAAGCTGCTTTCAAGAGAGATCTGAATGATCTATAAAAAGTAGTTCTTGTAAGGTATAAGAACTATTAAGTAAAAACATTTAATAGTATTTAAAGATTTACTTTTTGTAATATAAAAATTTTTTTACATATTACCAAAAATTAGTAGACATGAGATATTCTAATAGAGTATATCAAGTAGGTTATTGTTATTAATTAGGAATTGGCATTGAAATTGATAAGCAAAAGCATTTTATATTATCTAAAGCCTGGTAATTCTATAGAAATTCAGAAAACTGCTATCTGTAGTAGTTATAAAAAAGATCTAAAAATTATAATATTGGTCAAGTGATTAATGGCTAATATAGGTTTAAAATTTTTAATTGAATTAAAGTTTATACATTACCAAAAATTAGCAGAAATAAGAAATTCTAACAGAATATATCAAGCTGGTTATTGTTATTATTTAGGAATTGGTATTGAAATCAATAAGCAAAAAGTGGTTTCATATTATCTGAAGTCTGGTAATTCTGTAAGAATTTGGAAAACTGCTATTTGTAATAGATCTGAATAGTATTTAATTGGCGAAAATTATAATATTGGTTAAGTGATGAATAAATATCATGAATTTGGTTTGTCAGAGCAAATAGTTAACTGATATATACCATGTAGCAGTATATTTTAGCAACTATTTGTTCTGGCAAAACAAATTTTATAATATTTATCTATTACATGATTCAATATCAATGCTATTATGTGATTATAATCATGTTACAAGTTATTATTGGCTAATTGATTTTAATTCAAGACTGTTGTATTTATGTAATTATATTTATTTAAATAAACAACAATATTTTTAAAAAATATTAAGTAACAATAACATTAAATAATGATAATAATTTATAAATAAATAAATTGACTTTAAAAAAATAGAAGATGGGTTTTGAGATGGGTTGATACAATAATTATATTAGTTTTATTAGATTTAGGAATCATTTTGATAGATACATCATATAGTTAATACATATTAATTATGAAAAGTAAATAGTAATTTGGAGTTATTAATTTAGGTCTAATTATAAAAGTCATAGTGATGAAATTATCATGATATCTTTTGGGTTTTTAGTTAGAGATGATTTACTGACACAGTATCCACATGGCTTATCTTTTTTATTGATACAGCAAAGTTAATATTATCATTATTATTTAGCTATTTATTGCTTGACCAATATTATAATTTTCAAATCTTTTTTATAACTACTACAGATAGCAGTTTTTCGAATTCTTATAGAATTACCAGGCTTCAAACAATGCCAATTTCTAAATAATAACAATAACCAACTTGATATACTCTATTAGAATACCTAATTTTTGATAATGCATAAAAAAAATTTTTATATTACAGAAAGTAAATCTTTAAATACCATTAAACATTTTTACTTAATAGTTCTTATACCTTACAAGAACTACTTTTTATAGATCATTCAGATCTCTCTTAAAAGCAGCTTGATTCCAAGTTTTTAAGAACAGATTAGCTGTTGAAGTAATACTTTTTAAAAAAAACTTTAAAAAAAAAAGTATTTTCTAAGCCTACTTAGCTATA